CCGCTCTGGCCACGGCCGGGTTTTACTATATTTATGCTTCTGTGCTTTTTGAGTGGAGGTCCTTTGCAAGGTTTTTTGGCAGCGTAAGAGTAATTTGTTTAGTTAAGAATGCCTCTGAGGATATTTGTGCTGTATTTACTCTGTTTGGTAGAGGGCTACCCGTCTACTGTACTCACTGTTCACCCTATGGGAAGCCCTCATACTTTTTCCACTCAAAGTCTCCTCTCTGCTATAGTATTACTGACTCCAGCTAATTATTATCATACCATTGCACCATACTACAGTTGGTGTAGTGTGTGATATTTAGGTTCCCTCACACTCCTACTGCAGAAGAACAGCCCTGTTCTTCTTTCTGCCATTGCTGAAGGCTTCTCTTCACTACTGGGGAGACTGACTGCTGCCATCGAAGTGAAGACCCACTAAATGAGTGGCAGAGTGCTCTTTGGTCGACTCCCAGACTCTAGTTCCCTGGGATGAGTAAGGGAAGTTGACTAAAGATCATCTCCTATCTATGCACCACTGTGTACACACCACAGTATGTAAACCTAAGTCATGTTGACTTCAGTTATGTTATTCACATAGCAGTAGTAGTATAACTTAAGTTGAGTTATTCCTAGTGTAAACAAGGCCTGATAATCTCCTTATCATGATTCTAATGACTATTAACAAAAGGCTCCTATGACCCTCGTCTCCTTCTTCAGTGAGTTTCTACTTAAATAATTCCACCCCTACTCTCTTCTGCAGTTTATTGGCAGTATAAATGTTTCTACACAGAACACCTTTTCTTCCCTCTCAATCTTGGCTGCCTCCATTATACCCATCTATTCTGACATTCCACCAAATTCTGGTTATGGCCACTTCATCATAGTCTCCATCATTTTGTAGCCCTTCCAGTTTAGCTTGCGTGATTCTTGGCCTCTGTGTACAAACATTTTAGTATATCAATACTTTGCATTATTCAACTTCTGTCATCATCTTCTGCCTTCGTATACTAAAAGTGCATGCTGAGTCATTTGGGAAAAGTAAAAATTCCTTCTCTCCCCTTTCCTTACTGAGTTTAAAGCTAGCCTGCAGTGGTAGGGAGGGTTACAGAAGCAACTGCTGGTTGAGAGTTAAAAATCACTTAGGAAAGTTAGATGTCAGCAAGTCACCAGGTCCTGATGAAATGCATCCCAGGATACTCAAGGAGCTGATAGAGGAGGTATCTGAGCCTTTAGCTATGATCTTTGAAAAATCATGGCAGACAGGGGAGATTCCAGAAGACTGGAAAAGGGCAAATATTGTGCCCATCTATAAAAAGGGGAATAAGAACAACCCAGGAAACTACAGACCGGTCAGTTTAACTTCTGTCCCAGGGAAGATAATGGAGCAGGTAATTAAGGAAATCATATGCAAACACTTGGAAGTTAATAAAGTGATAGGTAATAGCCAGCATGGGTTTGTGAAGAACAAGTCATTCCAAACCAATCTGAGAGCTTTCTTTGATAAGATAACGAGCCTTGTGGATAAGGGAGAAGCGGTGGATGTCATACACCTAGACTTTAGTAAGGCATTTGATACGGTCTCGCATGATATTCTTATTGATAAACTAGGCAAATATAACTTAGATAGGGCCACGGTAAGGTGGGTGCATAATTGGCTGGATAACCGTAGTCAGAGAGTTGTTGTTAACGGTTCTAAATCCTGCTGGAAAGGGATAACAAGTGGAGTTCCTCAAGGGTCTGTTTTGGGACCCGTACTGTTCAATATCTTCATCAATGATGTAGATATTGGGATAGAGAGTACGCTTATTAAGTTTGCAGATGATACCAAACTGGGTGGGGTTGCGACTTCTTTGGAGGATAGGGACATAATTCAAAATGACCTTAGCAAGTTAGAGAAATGGTCAGAGGTAAACAGGATGAAGTTTAATAAAGAGAAATGCAAAGTGCTCCCCTTAGGAAGGAACAATCAGTTCCATACATACAAGATGGGAAGTGACTGTCTAGGAAGGAGCATGGCGGAAAGGGATCTAGGGGTCATAGTGGACCACAAGTTGAATATGAGTCAACAGTGTGATGCTGTTACAAAAAAAGAAAATATGATTCTAGGTTGTATCAACAGGTGTGTTGTAAACAAAACTCGTGAAGTCATTCTTCCGCTCTACTCTGCACTAGTTAGGCCTCAGCTGGAGTACTGTGTCCAGTTCTGGACGCCACATTTCAAGAAAGATGTGGAGAAATTGGAAAGGGTACAGAGAAGAGTGACAAGAATGATTAAAGGTTTAGAGAACATGACCTATGAAGCCAGGCTTCATGAACTGGGCTTGTTTAGTTTGGAAAAAAGAAGATTAAGGGGGGACATGATAGCGGTTTTCAAATATCTAAAAGGGTGTCAGAAGGAGGAAGGAGAAAATTTGTTCCTCTTGGTTTCTGAGGACAGGACAAGGAGTAATGGGCTTAAAGTGCAGCAGGGGAGGTTTAGATTAGACATTAGGAAAAAATTCCTAACTGTCAGGGTGGTCAAATATTGGAATAAATTGCCAAGGGAGGTGGTGGAATCTCCCTCTCTGGAGATATTTAAGAACAGGTTAGATAGACATCTGTCAGGGATGGTGTAGACGGAGCTTGGTCCTGCCTTGAGGGCGGGGGGCTGGACTCGATGACCGCTTGAGGTCCCTTCCAGTCCTATTATTCTATGATTCTATGAGAGCTGGGGGAGAGGGAATGAGGTGTTCAAACTTCTATCGACACTAAGGCCTATTCTATACTGCGTCCCTCCCCCTTCTTTTGATCTAAGATATGCACCTTCAGCTATGGTAATGTCAGCAGGGGCTGTTCTCCTGTTGACTCCACCTACTTTTCACATCCTGGTGGAATACTGGAATCCACCAGAGAGTGTTCAGAGCTTGACTTATTGCATCTAAGCAGATGTGATAAATCAGCTTCTGATGGATCAATCACTGTCCTGTCACTCTATCATGTAGTGAAGAGAAGCCCTTATAGCAGGGATTCTCAAACTCGTGATACCATGACCCCCCTCTCAGTTGCTCACAACCCCTCTCTAAGTTGCTCGCGGCCCCCTGCGGGGTCGGGGCCCACAGTTTGAGAAATGCTGCCTTACAGTCATTTCTGCGCAAAAGAGATGCATCTCCTCCCTATTGCCAGAAACCTCCCTTTCCACTGTCCCCTGCCTGGTGCCAAAACTCTCAGCTGTCCCCAATTCAGCTGCCAAAACAACTTCTCCCTAACAACTTTTAAGGCACAAGAAAGTTGCACCAGTTTCATTAACGGTGTGATCTGAAAGTGATTTAATGAAACTGGTGTAACATTCTTTTGTGAATGAGGGCTCTGATTTAGTTATACATTTTGGATGTAATCCTGGCTCCATTGATTTCACCTTGAAAATCAACATCTGACTAAAATACATTGAATTTAATGTGATTCTTTTATTTTGCCTATAAAGTATATTACTCATTTGCATATGTATGTCAGCAAAAACCTCAATTTTTTTTTAATTCACCAGAATCTATTGCAGAATTTCCAGACTGTCGCATTGGTGTTTCATGAAAACTAAATGCTTCACTGTTGAATTTAGGTCCATCTTTTCACTGAATACACAGGCTTTTTTAATAGCATTGAGCATATGTATATCACTTTTCCTATTCAAAACGCTTTATGAACATTACCTGTTGTAAACAACAAGGCCATATATAAGGTACATTACTGATCAATTATTCTGTATAGCACTAATTAGTCTTGCAGTCAAATAACACTGAAGTCAAATTACATGTACAGTATGAAAGCAGACACTGCAATTCCTTACAGTATAATGTGAGGACTGGGCTTAGATTGGTAGATGGAATATGTATTGCTTGTATAGTTGTGTGATAAATTATTGGCAAATAGAAACACAGATGGCTTTGCCCTGAGATCAGGCACCACATGCCAGAAATTATCTGGGAAATTGTAATTTTAAAAATAACTGTAGAACAAGTGCCAACTTCTGAAGGATCCATGTGTCTAATAAACAGGAACACAGCAATGTCCAAAGCTTTAATATATTTGGGTTATACTATAGGTATGGAAAGCATGCACAATTATCACAGATCCCCCGCTAATAAAAATGAAATATCTTCATATATCTTTTGTGCTTTTAATCCAGAACAGAAATTTTATAATTGCTATGAAAAGCATGAACCAAATTGTCATTCTAAATTATCTACAGAAGTGCAAGCAATTATAATGTCAGAAGAATTTTTATATTAGTTTTTTTTTTATTATTACACTTTTAGGGCCTAATGATTTATAAGCTGATCCATAGCTCCTATTGACATTAGATTCATGAATACTCCACACTTCTGAAATTCAGGCTTTGAGTTTATTGGTACTTTTAGGTCATATTATTGGAGTTTATTAAAGTTGTAACTTTTCAGTTTATTAAAATTATATTTATTATATACAGTAACTAAACAATGGTGGTTGTATTACTATTCATGATAAAATTCTTTTATTTTTTTCACCAGAAAGCGACATTGGGTTATTCAAGGCCCTATAATTTTCACTGTGATGCAGAGATAAGAATGAACCAGATTGCATTCCCTGTTCAGTAACACTTGTGCTTCTCCAAGGGGGTGAGTGCTGCCATGTGTCAGTGACAACTGTCAACTCCTCCTTTCCCTTTCCTCTGCCTCCTCCTCTCCCTGAGACAGGAATGTTGATTTCTCATCACCTGTCTGAATCTGTCCTCATGTCACTTGCATATATGGACAAGTTAGAATGGCAACTTGTGACGTTGTGCTGCTAAAAACAGCTCCAGCTTCCTTCAGCTCTTTGTTTTAACTAATGTCCTTCAGTTAAAGAAATCCAAAGGACATTTGATCACACAAGCCGTGGAATTATTTCAAAGAAACTAACCGGGAAGCCGATCAACATATTCTGGACATATGTAACTTGGAACAGCTAGGAGATGAGCACTTCTTTGAATTATAAGTCCTTTTCCAAAGAGCAGCAAACCATGGATAACTTGGAGAAACAACTTATTTGCCCCATTTGTTTAGAGATGTTTACTAAACCTGTGGTCATCCTTCCCTGTCAGCATAACCTATGTAGAAAATGTGCCAGTGATATTTTCCAGGTAAGTTTATTTCAGTATGAAGATTTGAAGGTATATATATAATTTCCTCAAGGCAAAAGGGAGGGGAGAATTTACACAAACTGTTTATTTGCTATTTAGAATTTGCAACTTTTTAAAAAAGGCATAAATAAAAGCTCAGCTTAGACAGGAAACTTCTCTATTTGGCTCTCTCCACCTGGAGATTTGTGGGGGAAGATCCTCTGCTGCTCTACATTGTCATATGGTGTTTACATGTATGGTATCCAAATATAGAGACAACTTATATCAGCAGAGGATCTACCCCCTTGTCTTTTATATTTTGACCTGTTTCTTGCATTTATTTTTATTCAGACTGAATTTTTTATTCCAAGCATGTAGTGCTAGGAAGATCTATCTGAGGCAGGGCCACCTACAGCTGGGGGATGGGTAAACAGGAGAGTTTGCTGAAGTCCCCAGAATGATGGATGGGTGGCCAGGCCAAATATGAGCATTGTAACCTGGTGCCCAGGGTGGCAGTGCCACTCAGGTGTGATGCCCACCACTGATAGTACAGGGAGCTATTTGCCTGGCCTGGACACGTCCAGATGCCACCACTGCCATTGGACCCATTGCACCAGGCCTAAGGGAATCCAGCAGGTCTGGAGCCTGAAAACAGGAACAAGATCATGGATACAGCTCCCTTGGCAACAGAGCTCAGGGAGAGGTGGGATTTGGAGCAGATCCCCCCCATGCCTGGGCCTGATCCCATCCCATCCCATCCCATCCCATCCCATCTCCTTAAACTTTTGTTTCCCTGATAACTTTTTGGAAGGATGGGAGAGGGGGCATCACTTTCAGATTTTGATCAGGGGCCCCTAAATCTCTGTATGGTCCTGATCAGAGTGGGGAAATGTTTAAAAGCATCTGGTTTCAAATTCATTTTTGTTCCAGCACTCTAGAATGGTATGTTTATCTCTAGCACAGCTTGTTGCAATATTATTAGCTGGCAGGCACTAAGTGAAGTGGCTTTGGGCCATGACTTTCATCGGGGTTTCTTTTATATCAATGGAGAGTACTGCTTTAAGAGACTGATCCCAAGATCATTGGAGTCCTGAAAGTATTCTCACTGACTTCAGTGAGCTTTGAGTCAAGTCTGAAATAGGGGGCCTGATATGTTCCTTATGTGGTGAAAATTAAGGCCATTATTAGAATAACCATGGTATTTTTTTAAAAGTTATGCATGGCCCTATTCACCTGTAATTTTACTGCTTGGCAAGAACAGGCCTCTAACCCATATCTGCCAACAAGAGGAGGCACCACAGTGGCATCAGGTGGTCGATTTCGTTGTCCCTCCTGCAGACATGAAGTGGTTCTGGACAGACATGGTGTGTATGGACTCCAAAGAAACCTATTAGTGGAAAATATCATTGACATATATAAGCAGGAGTCCACCAGGTAACATATTAATTCATATCTTTAAAAGAAAATGTACCACGCTTATGACATTGTTGTGTTCTATCTTTCTTTCCTGTGCTTTCTGAGTTGTTAGTTCTGTTTATTTTATCTTTTGAAGGTGGTAGAAGTTTCCTGTAATGGGAGACTGGAATGATATTTGTGTTTGTTGTGGAATGACATCAACCCTCACTTATTATTCTGTATCACTTGACAGAATGTAATGTTAAAATAGGTGCTGATTTTTTGCTTTCTCCATATGGAGTCTGATTCTGCAGTCCTTATTCACATGTATCATGCAAGCAGAGTCTTTGAAGTCAATTGACTTAGTCATATAAGTAAGGAAAGAAGGGTCTTGCCCATTTACTCAGTCTTACAATTTTTTCAAACCTTGCATGTTCCACAATTTGTTTTTAGTCCATGTATTCCTGTCTTTAAAAGGTGCCAGTACTTTTTAAGAAAGATCTCAACGACAAATAGAGTAAGAGCAAATATATCTGAATTATATTCAGAAGCCATCCTGCATCATAATACTGAATCAACAATCATTTTAAAAAGCACTTTTATAAGCTTGGGATGTGAACTCATGAAGTCAAGTCTCATTTAGGCCACACTTTCTGTACTGAAGAAATGAAAAGGCCAAAAATAACAGTTCAGTACTCATGGACTTTAAAGTCAGAAGGGACCATTATGATCATCTAGTCTGCCCCCTGCACAATGCAGGCCAGAGACTCTCACCCACCCTTTCCTAGAATAATCCTCTCACCTATACCTCAGATATTGAAGTCCTCAAACAGTTTAAGGACCCCAAGATGCAGAAAATCCTCCAGCAAGTGACCCGGGCCCCATGCTACAGAGGAAGGCGAAAAACCTCCAGGGCCTCTGCCAATCTACCCTGGAGGAAAATTCCTTCCCGACCCCAAATATGGCGATCAGCTGAATCCTGAGCATGTGGGCAAGACTCACCAGCCAGATACCCAGGAAAAAGTTCTCTAAGGACCCAAGGACAACGCAGTGTAGCTGTGCATAGGAAAACCAAAATCATGATGGGGAAGCAAGAGTTAACCCTAAAAAGTAAGACTAATACTAAGTCACAATCAGGGCCAGTCCTAACCAATTGGTGGCCCAGGGCAACCACCCGGCTCATCCATATGATTTCCAGACGATTTAAAAAAAAAAAATACTGGACAAAAATTTGTCAAGCAAAAAAAAAAAAAATGTGTCGGGGAGTAACCAGGGAAACCTGAGGGGGAAGATTTGGGAGGTCAAGCCGAAGTGCAGTTGCGGCCCACCCCTAAGACCGGCTCTGTCAGCGGCCCCTTGGAAATGGCTGCCCCAGGCAACCGCCCAGCTCGCCCACCCCTGACACCAGCTCTGGTCACAACTACTGGATCCATCACTAAGCCAGCAGTAGAATGTTACTGTTTTCTTCCATACCAAATAAAAATCAGGAAAGGAAGTGGGGTCATGGTCTTGCATCCTCTTCTCCCAACACACACTGTTAACACTGAGTATATGGTACACTCGCTACAAGTGTGACACAGGAACTGTGCGACTCAATGTCTCCCAGTGCTCCAAGTGCAGCATTATGGTGTCTCCACACTTCCCCAAGTACCAAGCTATGGCTACAAAGCATAGTAGATCTCTGCATTCCCAATTCACAGCCCCACACCACCCATTTTGTACTATTCTGCTATAGCAAAGGGGCTATAAACTGGCTATATTCAGCTCTTAGAAAATACCCGTGAAGTAAAGGTGTTCTCCAGTTGGTGTGGAGGGAGGCATGTGTGGCTGGAGAACATCCCTCCGGGACTGCCCTAAACTAAGCTGGGGGCCAAACCAGAAAACCGGGGAACAGATAGTTGATTGGGAGCTGTGTTTTCCCTTCCCCCTAGTATGGTACCCTGAGCAGAGCTCAGCTGTGCCCATGAATCTTTTTCCCTGTGTGTGTCAGTGATATACAAATAGCTAGCAGGGAAAATTACAGCAGAAATGAATCAGCAAAGGTAGGGCACTGGCAGTAGCAGGCAACAGAACAAGCTGATCATATGTGGTTCTTTCACTTCTTTTTGTATTTTTCCATACAGTTTGAGGTTAACTTTAATACTATGGACATTGCTGTTTTTCCAAGAGTCCAAAGCTTTATTATGCAGCCATTGTGCTCAGAATAGGCAAAAGATCATAAAAGATTTGGTAATTCTTCTTGGAGAACAAAAATATGTACATAAGTATATGTTGTCTCTGGTATTTGTCTGAATGCTTATTTTTAAGATATGAAGGCATTTTAACCTTCACTTATGTCCTTAGAGTTACACTAATTATCAGGTCTATCCTGGCAACAGTAATACAACAGCATTATCTAAGCTATTTGACACTTAGCATGCTGCCCTCAGCTGCTTAGCTCCTTCACCCTAATGTTTCTAAAGCCATCATGAGTATGTTGCCAGGAGACCCAGTGCTTTATTCTAGTTTTATGCTGGTATAGCCCCACTGAAATCAGTGGAGTTACTGTTCCAAATAGCTGGGCAAATTAGGCCTATTAGCTTTCCTACATATCTTTCGCCTTATTGAGTGATCTACAGCCATGGATCTCAAGCTGTGGTCCACAGACCACTAGTGGTCCATGGCCATCTTCCAGGTAATCCATGGCTTGAGCTCAGCCCCCCTCCTTCCTCCTGCAGTGGGATGCCTGCACTGGCACTCCAGCCTCACCCTCCCTTCTCCGCATCCCGCAAGGTTGGAGCGCCAGAAAAGGGAGAGAAAACCCAGAGCCTCACTGCATGATCCAGGTCACAAGGAAGAAGCACTCCCCCAGCTGAAGGAACAGCAGTGCACAGGTTCACTGCCTGGAGGCTTTCCCCACTGCTCCCAATGGCCAGATTCCGGACAATGGGAGCAGCAGAAGGCTGTGCCTGGGAATGACATGGGGTGCAAAAGCAAGTAGAAGTAGGTGTTCCCCTATCCCCTCACGCCCAGCCCCCTCACATATAAATCCCACCAAGACTCCGTACTCCCCCACTGCTCCTGCACCCTTCCTCCTGCCCACACACTGCACCTTCCCTTGCTCTAGCCCCCTCCCCCGACAAGACACACTATTTCCAGCATGCTACTGTACCCTACCTCCCATCCAGACCTCACACCTTCACCGCCTTCTACATCTGACCTCTTGCACAGATCCTGCACCCCCATCCATCTCA